TTCTGTATTCCTTTTCCATATTCCATGCACTCACACCACAATAAAAATCATATATAGTTTTTCTTGAAAACCTAGAGTATTATTTTTATTAAAAACTATACAAGAACACTTTACTATAAACTAAATAATAAAATATATCTAAAGCCAGATATAGTAAAACTACAGTTTTATCATATTTGAAGTCTTATTCATTTAGCTTGCTATGAAGTTCTATCAAATGTGCATTGTAGTGCATGCTCTGCAGTGCTAGTAGCACTAATAGTCATACACTTCAAAAAGGTTTGTGATACTATGCAGCTCTAATCTCAAGATCTTGGATGTGGTTTTTGGGGTTGTTGCCAATACTCCAAACTTGGCAAGCTTGAATGTTTGGGAATTTTCTCCAAGGAATGGATGCTTGCATTGTGCACCTGAAGGATAACTTGATCAATCTGGCTCTCCATAGTCCATGCATGCTTGACAAATGATGTGAGAGACTGCAAGAAATGATGCTTGCTGAAGAGTGGGATTATCCTATAGCATTTTGAAGCACACACCCATATTGTGCAGCTCTGGTTGTTGAGTTTTGGAGTCCTTGACCAAGACATCAGCCCTCTCTAGCTAAGTTAACAAACAAGTTAACATCTAACCCTATTCTCAAGATATTGCTCAGCATTCATTAGGTTCAAATGCTTGAGGTGCATTTTGACTATAAGGTGGTGGTGCACCCAGAGACAGAGTCCCATACTGCCATATAACCAAAAAATGGCATGTGTTGTTTGTCCTGATACTATTCTATGTGGTGATTTGAAAGTCAATTCTAAATTCTCTTTTAATTTAATTAATCCTTTTGTGAGCCTTAGATTTTCCGAAGACTTTTATTTAGTGCAAAAAGTTTAGCTTTTGATCACAAGAGACTTTTCTGACATACTGCCTAGGGAGACTCTTGTACCTTGGAGGCTCTAGTAGACATCTCTCTCCTAGAGACAAATCCAAAGGCATTCTTTAGGAATTCTTGGCAAATGTGCAAATGTGCAGTGCTTGAGTAAAAGGCTAAAGATTCACTTTGAAATGAACAAGAGAGTGAACTCTAGGCCAACCTCCCAATCCTTAAGGCATTATGGCCTTAAATCCCACAGGTTGTAAAATATTCTTGGAATATTCCTGTGATTTATGTCATTCACCCCTCCCTCATGACCCAGCTATGAACAATAGCTTTGAGAAGCTAAACAAGCCTCACATGAAAGGCAAAGCAATATAACCATGGAGAAAAGATGTGCAAACGACAATACTAACATCATAATAAATGGCCATGAAGAAAAAAAAGCAATACAACTTTCTCTCATGACAACATGGTTATGGAAATAAGAGAATGAGAATAAACAAATGGCTCAAATCATATAGCAATATGGCTATAGAACTCAATTCTCCCTTCCCTAGGACTGTCATCAAAGTTATAACTAAAACTTAGAAACACTCTCTTCACATCATTCTCAGTTTCCCATATAGCCTCATCTATAGAATAACCATTCTACTGAACTAACAACTCCTTAGTTGTTTTTCAGTGTGTTTTCACCAATCTTTGAGCAAGAATATTGGCCGAACCAGCCTTCTTAGCATGAATCTCTAGAACCTGAATGATGGACTAATCCACGACATCACCAGAGTGTAAACATGTTTTGAGCTTGCTCACATGGAATATTGGATGAATCTTCAAACTAGTTGGCAAATCTAAAGTGTATGTAAGATCCCTCACACACTATAAAATTGTTCAAGACCCATAAAACAATGGAGACAACTTAGCACTACAACTTCCTTTCAGAGACCATTATGCATCCGACAACTTAAGGAAAATTTTCTCACCAACTTTGTACTCTTGATGATGATGATGCTCATCAGCCAATCTTTTGTCTTGATCTTGAGCTTGTCTCATATTCAACTTTGCCAACTCAAACTTATCTTGCATATACTCCAGGAAATCATAAGCATGCGGTACCCGAACCAAAGCTAAACTCAAACTCACGGGAGACTTAGGCTCATAGCCATACATTGCCATAAAGGGAGACATGCCAATAGCCAATCGATGAGTGCTATTGTGAGCAAATTGAAGCAAAGGCAAGTATTTCTCTTATACTCCCTATCGAGATAAGTTTCCCATAAAAGACCTCAATATATCTTTTAATAGCTAATTCATGTGCTCTATTTGCCCATTTGATTGTGGATGCTCACCACTACTATGCTCAACTTAGTCTCTAGCTTCTCAAAGATTGTTTACCAAAACTTGGATATAAACTTAGGATCCCGATCATTCACAATATCATCCAACAAACCATAGAGATTAAATAACTAGTCTACAAAAAACTAAGCAAGTTCATAAGCTTTTATCATTGTCTCCACAAAGAAGAAGTGAGCCATCTTCATCAAACGATCCACAACAACCCAAATAGCATCATTTCTTTAAAAAGTTTTGGGCAAACTAGTAATAAAATCCATTGAGATGCTATCTTATTTATGCTTGGGTACATGTAAAGGATGATAGAGGCCAACAAGCTTCTAATGATCAACTTTGACCACTTGGCAAGTCAAACAACTATATATGTACTTCTCAACATCTGATTTCATCCTAGGCCAAAAGAAATACCTCTTCACTAACATATACATTCTCAGTACTCTTGGATGCCCAACACTTGGCACATCATAACACTTAACTAAAATCCATTTGATGAATTTGTCAATATAAGGAAACCACCACATGTCCCTTCTTCACTAGGATTCTATCTTGTATCTCGAATGACGCAAACTTGTCACCCTTCAAATTTGTAGAAGCATCCCTCAATAAAACCTTCGCACAAATATCATTGATAAAGGAGTCGAAGTCAACAAACTCCTTAAGCTCATTCAAGAGATCATTGGATAGCTTTACGAATAAGATAGAATTGATCATCGTGGATAATGCATCAACTATCTTATTGTCACTTCTATGCTTGTATTGGATCTTAACAGACATTTCCTATAGAAACTCTTGCCAACAAGTAAGGTGGCCTCAAAGATCCTTTTGTTGACTGAAATACTAAAGAAACTGATAGTTTGAATCCATATAGAAGTCCAATTCATATAGATAATGTCACCATTCCTTCACAGTAGCAATCATAGTATACAACTCTTTGTCATGAATAGGCTAATTCCGTTGTGTGGCATCAAACTTATGGCTCATATACACAAGAGGATGCTCAACTTGAAGCAAGATGGCTCTAATAACAATATTATTTGCATCTGTCTCAACTATAAGAGGCTAGGAGTGAAAAATCCACTATAACAAATACTTGAGTTTTATCTATGATGGATCCCACCACATTCATATTTAGAATTCATTAACCCCTTCAAGATAATCTTTGCCTTAATATCTAGTCTTATGATAATGAAAACAATTACCCTCTACCTTGTCCTTCTTTTGTTGGTCCAAATGATATCTTTTGGCCTCATTACCATCTCCACTCTTCAAGCCACGACGAAACAATGGCTATTTCTTCCCCGAAGATGAAGTATTGGTGGGTTGGTTATCACATTGACTACCCTATAGACCATCCTATTGACTATAGTTGACCAAATTGATTGACAGTTTGGGTTAAAAGATCTGAGCCTTAGTGATATGAACGTTGTTGGAAAATCCTTCTTGACCTTTTATTACATATCTACTAAGCTCAAACCTTTGATAAAACATTGCACCTTTAGTAGTTTATTATAAGTGCCTATGAGACTAAAGCAAATATCACGAAACTTGCGGGCATACGCATCCAAAAACAAAGTCCTTTGTTGGATCTCTAACAATTGATTCACGAGATCAACCTCTTCAAACTTCTTGACAAATAAAGCACGGAAAACCCTTGTCAAATTAGTCCAAGAAGTTAGCTTTGGATTAACTTTGATGTAGTTCTTTCACCACGAAGAAGCATGGTTTATAAGCTTTGTTACAAAAAAATTAATCTTCACCTTATCTTCACAAGGATTGTGAAATCAACAACTTTCCCACAATTCTAACTAATAATCAACTTTTGATTATCACAAACATTTGGTGATGACTTCCATTCCATGATACCATAATCCTTGGCATGCATGACGTACCAATGGTAATCACAAACATGAGATTGATTCAACCCTTGAGGGTCTATGCGAAGCAAGAAATCCCTAATGAGATTAATAGAATTCTTAACCTCCTTTTTGTTGCTATGAATCTCAAAAATCTAGCGTCTTTGTTGCACAATAACATTATCAAGAGTCTCTTCCTCATCATCGTTAACACCGTACTCCTTATTAGGATCAATATTTTGCTCTCCCACCATCCCCAGTTGCTCCAATATTAATGAAACGAATAAAAGAACATACCCTAGGCCAAAGGCATTATGGCCTTAAATCCCACAAACTATAGAATATTCTTGGAGTATTTTTGTGGTTTGTATCACACTTAAACTTTGCAAGTTGCAGTGTTCCTGTATTGCAAGCTTGTATACCAAGAGGATATTCTGGGAATATTTTATGGCCCAAAGGGATTTAGGGCTCGAATGTTCACCATGAATCTTACATAAGAACATAGGGAGAAAAATATATGAAAAACTCATCACTATATCTTGACTTTGCTTGTGCACACTCTTGTTTTTCTATGGCTTCAATCTTATATGGTCTTGGCCTTGACCTGACTGCATCCTAACTATTGAATTTCCATATAAAAATTCTTGCTAATGTTTTGTAATATTCTTTAGTACCCAATTTATTATCTGGGTTGTTGAAATTTCTCAATCTCCTTTTAGCTTTATTATTTGTTTGCTGCTACTCAATGCCTTTGCACAAGCAAGCATTGCTTTGATCTAGCGCCTTAAATATCTAATGCATCCAACACTTCAATCATCCTAAACATTATAAAAGGGATTGCAATTAAGAGGTTTATTTTCCTCTTCATTATTGGCCTCATGGCTAGCAACCTAGGATCAAGAGGGCTTCAATACCATGAAAGCGGAGAGCAGGGAGGAAAGAATCATATATAGGTATATATACATTGCCTTGTGGGTACAACAAAAATGTCATCTTAATTTTTACGAAATTTGAAATTTTTGCCAAAACTCATGTAAATGTTAGACATAAGATCGTAAGCCGCTGAGTTCTCTGGATCCAACACCACCAGTGCCTCAAACGCAATCCTCCCATGCTTCACGTCCCTCCACTTGTGACAAGCCCCAAGCAGCACCATCCAAGCCATGCCACTCCTTGGTCTCGACTCCACCACCTCCAGTGCTTCCTCAAGCATCCTCGCTCGTCCCAGCAGATCCACCATGCAAACATAGTGCTCCTCGCTGGGCTTCACTCCATACCTGGACTCCATCGCTGCGAAGACACTCCTTCCTTTCTCGACAAGCCCCGCTCGGCTACAAACCGTAAGCACGCTCACGAAAGTCACGTGATTTGGTCCAAGGCCTTCATCGACCATAGCTCCAAATCTCTCAAACACCACCTTGGTATCGCCCACGCGACTGTATCCTGCTATCAGCGACGTCCAAGTTACCACGTCCCAGCTTCCTTGGCGAGAATCAAACACTAGCTGGGCTTCCTCGGTTCTCCCACACTTGCCATAAAAGTCCACCAGGCACGTCGCGAGAACTCCATCGCCCTCCAAGCCACGCCTGTAAATCTCCGAGTGGATCTCTTTCCCAGCTTGGAGAGACACAACCCTGGCACAAGCGGTGAGAGCAGCGGCCAGAGTTTGAGCGTCGGGGGTGTAATTCTTGTCGACCAGTTTGTAGAGCTCCAGTGCTATGTCGCCTTCTCCATCGTCGGCGTATCCCAGCATGAGCGTGCTCCACAAAACCAGGCCCAGATCTGGCATAGTGTCGAAAACTCGCCGAGCATCGCCCATGCTTCCACACTTGACGTAAAAGTCGATCAAGCTGCTAGCGACGAAGGTGTTTTTCAAGTCACCGGGACACTTTGCTGCTGCCTCCGAGTGTACCGCCATTCCTTTCTCGAGAGCTGCTAACTTGACAAAATTTCGATCGACTTGAATGCCATCTTCTTTCTCGGCCAGACCAATGCAGGCTTTCAGTGCTGCTACGATCGCTCGAGTGTCCGGGACACAGCCTTGTGGTCGCAAACCAGTAAAAGCCTCCAGTGCCAGAGCTTCTTCACCGTTTCGAGCGTAGCCAAGCACGAGTGACGTCCAAGAGACCAAGTGTTGTGGCGCAGCTCCTCCCAGGAAGACTCTCCGAGCCTCCTCCATGCTACCACAGTGCGCGTACATGTCGATCAAAGAGCTTGCCACGAAAACGTTCGAGTCGCAGCAGCACTTAACAGCCTGAGAGTGAACATCTCTTCCTCGCTCGAGAGCTGCAAACTTCTTCTTGCCATGGTTCCCAAGTTCTCGTTCTTTCCCGGCCAAGCCCGTGCATGCCTTCAAAGCCGCGACGAACGTCAACCAGTTCGGCACAGATCCTTGTGATTGCATCTCTCCAACCAAGTCCAGAGCTACTCCTTCCTCTCCATTCTCTGCGTGGCCGAGAGTCAGAGCAGTCCAGAGAACTACATCTCGACGGTGCCTTGGTATTCTGTCAAAAACCCTGCGAGCTTCCACCATGCTCCAACACTTCGCATACAAATCCACCAGAGAGCTCGCCACGAACACGTCCGTTTCCAAACCACGCTCGGCAACTTCAGCGTGGAGAACTGCTGCTACTTCCAACGATTTTCGCTTGACAAGCTTGCCATATATCTCGGTGCCTTCCTCTCTCGCTGCTTTCCCGGCACAGGCCTTCAACGCCGCAACGTAAGTCCGACAATCTGGTGTGCACCTTCGAGAATTCATGCACCGGAATAACTCGAGAGCAATCTCTTCCTCTCCATTGTCAGCATAGCCCAGCACCAAAGCCGTCCACAACACCGAGTCGTGCGAGACGATCCTGTCGAAAACTTTGCGAGCATCGAGCAAGCTCCCACATCTTGCATACATCTCCACCAGCGAGCTCGCCAGGAAAACATCCGCGTCGTAGTAAAACTGCGACACAGCCATCGCGTGAATGGCCATTCCCTTCTCCAAGCTTTGCGTCTTCACAACCTTTCCATCTATCTTCTGCCCGGTTTCCATCGCAGCCAGAGCAATGCAAGCTTTTACCACCGCCACGAGAGCCTGTCCGTTCGGAGAGCATCGCTGGAGTTGCATGCGTTGGAACAGCTCGAGGGCCAGCTCTGGCTCGCGGTTCTCGGAGTATCCCGCGATCAAAGTTGTCCACGACACAACATCCGGGCGCTGGATCCTCTCAAACACCTGGCGAGCGTCTTCGAGGCTTCCACACTTGAGAAACATATCGAGCGCTGCGTTTGCCACGAATATATCTTTGTCGGAGGAGCCACTCTCCACAGCCTGTACGTAAACCTCTCTTCCTTTTTCCAGAGCCGCCACCTTGACGAGCTTTTCTTGGCTCAGGAGCTTAAACTCTTCTTTCGCTGCTAGACTTGTGCACGCCCTGATAGCCGCAACGAAAGTTCGACAGTCCGGATCGCAGCCTTTGGATTTCATGGTGGCAAACAAGCTCAAAGCCACTTCGCCCTGACCATTCTCCGCATAACCAAGTATCAAAACCGTCCAGGAGACCAAACTGTGGCTCGGCATCCTCTGGAAGACCTGGAAGGCGTCAACCAGGCTCCCACACTTGGCATATACACTGATGAGCGTGTTTGGAAGCTTGATATCCAAGTCCTGGCATCCACCAAAACTGTCGACTTCCCTGTGAATTTCCCTGGCTTTCTCGAGCGATGCAAACCTTACCAAAACCTTGCCACTGGGACCATGAGCTTCTCTTGCTTCCTCCCTGGAAGCCAAGCAACTGCAAGCCTTTAGAGCAGCGACATAAGAGAGACAATTGGGAGAACATCCTTCTGGCCTCATCCTGGAGAAGAGATCGAGCGCGAGCTCTCCTTGATCGTTGTCGGCATAGCCCAGCACGAGTGCGTTCCAAGGGACCACATCGTCGTGCGGGAGTTTGTCGAAGATCTTGCGAGCGTCCGCGAGGCTGCCACATTTTGCGTACATGTTTACCAGAGTGGTGGCGACAAAGATGTTTGTTTCCATACCCGTTTGGATGGCATCAGCGTGAGCAGTTCTTCCATGCTCCAAGTTTTTGGCAGCGGAGCAATCTTTGAGCCGTGCAAGGAGCCGCGAGATTTTTGGATCGAACCTTGACGTGTTGGCACGCATCACTTGTGTGTAGACTTCCGCTCCTCACGAGGAGAATAGAAAGCAAGAAATGGTGAGTGGGTGGAAGAAAAGATTAGAACAGTTTAACTTACAGTTGGTGGAATGGGAGGAAATGCAAGTGATTGAAACCATCGACACATCTTGATCCACATTTGGTCCGTGGCACAAGACGCGCCTCTCTTGCCCCGACAAACCCTAAAACTTGCCAATCGTGCGCTCTTTCTAGGGCTTTTGATGGCGGGCGACGAGTCCCTGCTGCGCGATTGGATCGATCGGCGTCCAGACTACTCCACTCCTGCGAAGCGCAAGCTGGTGGAGGCAGTGGAGTCGCAGCTCTTGTTCTCTGTCAAGGATTTGAGGCAACCTCGTGCCAGGGCTCGATTACCGCCATGCCGAGATGTCAGCGGCGGGCATGTTCGGCAACGCTCGCTCCGATGCAGTGCTGCGGCGCGTGCGGAGCGGATTCCATCGCAGCGCTTCCAAGCGTGGACTTCGCGGAGGTGAAAGTGTTTGACAAGCTGCCATGGCCGAGCTTGCAGCCCAGGGTGCCGTGCGTTCCGTCAGAGGCTGATGGCATCTGGCTTGTGGGGCGCCCAGTCTTCAAAGAGATCCTGGACAGATTCGCGGCGAGCAAGGACGATGTGATAGACTTGGACGGGAATGTCGGCTCGGGGAAAACTTACCTCTTGCTCATGCTAGCTTTGCATTGTCTCCACACGTTCTCACCAGCAGCAAGGAAGTCGCGGCTGGTTTGCATCTTTAGCATGCCAGACAACAATCCCGACTTGCTGACGGCGATCAGGGAGGCTCTCTTGGTGGCCTTTGCGGATGATGCTCCGACGTGCAACTGGCTGTGCTACATTGAGGACTGGAAGGAGATGATGGAGGTGGTGTCATGGTTGAAACACACCAACGATCTGTTCTTCGTTGTCGACGAGTACGATGTTTTGGACAGCAGGGCCTCGAACAGCTCCCTTATGGACATGTGGCTTGCTTTGAAAGCCCTCGAGGAAAGCTCAACCTGCTTGCATGGTGGCTCGACAAGGCGGAACGAGGCCTATGCCAGGGTTTTCAAGACCACTCACAACAGAAACTACCACTGCAAGTACACAGCCTTCACGCCCGAGGAGACGAAGCAGTGCGTCACCTGGAAGGGCTTGCCATCCGAGCCTGGTGAAATGCAGGCATTGACGGGAGGTTTGCCACTCATGGTGCGTGTTTTCGTGGATTGCTATGTCGCAGCGGCGACTTCTGCAGATTGTGAGGGCGAGGAGGTTGAACAGCAATGAAGGACTGTTGAACAGTGGGTGACGGAGATAGCGGCCTTGAAACATGTCAGGAGGAGAATAGCGGTGGCTGCGCTATCGGATCTGATAGCTGGCAGAGGCAGGATCGACTCTGATAGTTTTGATCCTCGGTGGATTGTACAAAATGGGGACAAGTTTGCGCTGGTTTCTGATCTTACCAAGGCAATGGTTGTGACTGCCGTTGGAATGCATTTGGATAAGGCAGATGGAGATGCCTTGATGATGAAAGTGGCAGAGCAGCTCATTGAAGAATGCATGGCCGCACACCTTGCACCGTTGCCAGTTGAACTCATGGTGGAAAGGATTGTAATCCACATCGCGAAACAGTGGGGCATGGGGCCATTGAAGGGAAAGAAGATTGAAGCTTTTCATTATTTTGGCTTGAATTTGGGACCAGTCCTAATGCACTCGCCAACAACTTCTATCCCCAGCAGCTGGCAACGCTGCTGTGTTGACTTTGTGACTCGAAGAGTGGAAAATGATCTGCTCTTCATTGACGTGTTTCGAGTTTCTGTTGGGCCACAAAAAAGGATCACAAAATGGCAAAGTGTGGACAAGTTCTTCAAGCCTGAGAACATGGGTCTTTATACAGCTGGTTATGATGTGGAAGATATCAGATGGGGTTTTCACTGGATTGGTCCAGAGGGTGGTAAGCCAGACTGGTTTCCCTCAAGGTGGTCGTCTGCTGGTGGTGTTAACTATAACGAAACATACATTGTGCTCTCTGCCGTGGCACATCCCCAAGAGGTTGATGGATTTTTTATCAAAGCACTAGAAGCTGTTGTGATATGATCTTGAGCTGAGATTAAACTCAGGAATAAAGATTTGTCCATCTCTACATTGAAGTCATGGTTCAATATGTTAACACACGCTTATTTGCTGATTTTAGAATATTCTAATGTTTTTTATGCTTCTCTAGACTTCTTGACAGCCTTTCCATCTATCTTCAGCCCGGTTTCAAGCTTTTGTCACCGCCACGAAGGCTTGTCCATTCGGAGAGCATCGTTGGAGTTGCATGTGTTTCTGGCTTGTAGAATTTGGGATTTTAGTTTAGATTTAACTTTTTCATTGTCTAAATCTCCCTTTTCTTATTGTTTTTCTCAACTTTTTTCTTTCTTTTTTATTTATTATTTATTTGTTTCCTCCTCTTTTAACTCTAGAGTAGCAATTTGTGCAATTTTTTGATGCTATGTAGTTGTAGTTGAACAATCCGACTCAATTAATAGCAGTATTCATAGCGCATGGTACAACTCTTTTTGTGTTTGCTACCAATCCTCACATTTGGCTAAAGTTCTTTTGTGGGAATCTTGGGAATGATGTGTACCATTGATTCAATCATTTCACAGTTATTGCCACATATCATTTTTGGGATAATGTTGTAAATGTGACTTCGGGTATTAAAAGATGCTTGTCTGCCAGTCCTTACGGACACTCTCTCCTTACTGCCATGATGGCAAGAGGTCAGTACTGTTGGTTCCCTTTATTGGCCCCTTTTGTCCAAGTGTTAGTAAATTAGACTTAGCATTTGTACTTGGCCGGATGAGCATAAGGACGGAATTCCTAAGGGTTCTTGCCAAGCCAGTGCAAGATATAGCAAAAGAGAACTAAAAAGCTGGGCCAAGTATGCTTGGCCAAATAGACACTTGCGTATTGAGACTAGTCCCTCAATATCGCTAGATGATAGCTTACTGTGTCTGCCAAACACCCTTGCTATCATGCCCTTTATATTAGTCTTATTTCGGTTCCAAATGCTAATTATGGAAAGTGTCAAGATTTGCTCATTTGGCATATCTACAGAATGTAGATATCGGCCTGAACACAATGGTGTTCGTTTCATGTCCAAATTCACAATCTAAAAACATTCCATATTTAATAAGTTTCGAGCTTGTCCCAAATACTAACTCCTAATACTAAGGGAGGTTTGGGGTGAAAGCCCAAAGCATGTGTTCCTCAAGGGGGGGGGGGGGGGGGGGGGGCTATGGGGGGTTTCAAAAGTATAGTAAGGATAGTGGTTGGAATGCATGTCCGACCACCTAAGACATTAATTTGGCTCCCACTGGGTTGTGTTGCTCGTTGTTCTGCATCTGGCTTGGGTCTAAGCCCAAGCTCCACACTGCTCTAGTTGGTGGGGTACCCTCCTCCTTGTTTTAGGCCACTAGTATGTCAAAATTGTGCCGACACCATTTTGTGTGTAGGTGCTGGATATGGGGAGCTGGTGCTCATGGGATTGTACTGGACCCTCGTTTTGTAGCGCAACGGGCTTGGAGTTCGGCTTCAAATTCAGGTGCGCTACATTTGGTATTAGAGAAATTGTCTCAGCGATTCCTATCCAACTTTTGTCAGATTTTCTGACTCAAGTTGCATACGCAGAGACTTTTCTAGTAGATCCAAAGCGACCTGTGTAGGATTAGTTGGATTGCACCATTCGGTAAGAACGTTGTATGCATGTTCATTTACTGATAGAGGCATGCATGCAGCTAGCGGGATGGTGAAAAGGAACCGTGCTGATGACGCTGAAACATCTAGACGAGCAAATTGAGAGGAGGAAACTCCTAGTAGAGATGTTGCGGAAGAGGCTGAGGCCAAGTTAGAAGAGGAAGAGCTAGATGCTGTGGCATTGTAGTGTACGGCTCAGGAAGTCGAGATTTAGAATTTGCGAAAGGAGATTCGCAAATTGAAGGAGAACAAAAAGAGGAAGAAAGAAGCTGAGGCAGCTAAACCAGCTAAGCCTAAGCAACCGGACTCCTCTTCAAGTTCTGAGGACGATGAAGTTCTGCAACCACCCCCGATTGCATGAGTTTCAAAGTTCAAGCCTCCGAAACCACCCAACTTTAGAGGCATGCGGGACTATCAAGTTTTGGAAGACTGGGTCTACGATATGGAAAACTATTTCATAGTGGCAGATGTAAATGATCGTACGAAAGTTGCGTGCATGCAGTCCTTTCTCACTGATCATGCCAAAACTTGGTGGCACCAAATGTGTGCTGAAAAAGGGCAAACTAGAAGTTGGACTAAGATGCGGTCTCGTATCTGTAAGGAATACTTGCCGGACGATCTTGGTCTGAGACTTTGCGCGGAGCTGCGGCGGTTAAAGCAGTGAGGGGACCTCATGCATTACGTTAATGCGTTTGCTCAGAAGCGCATTATGATTGCAAATATGAATGACAAAGATGCTCGGAGTTATTTCCTGGAAGGTTCACTTTCTTGCAATGAGATTTTGAAGTTTAAGCTAAAGACGTATCTAGAGTGTAAGGAGGCAGCACAGCAAGTTGCCTTTAGTCACTCGCTTATGGAACAATATCAGCAACCGTATGCTGGTAACTCGGATAAGAATAAGAATTCTGGGAATAAACAAGGTGACCGGAAACAGAGGGTGGAAGGTAGGTTCCGCTCTGGAGGCTCACAAGCAACAATTAACAAAGGTGGTGGTGGTTGGAGACCACAAGCATCTTCTTCTGGTCCTAGGCCCTCTGCTCCTCCTCCTAGTGGGTACAAGCAGCAGCAACTTGCAAAACCTGCTCCTAGCAGAACAAGTAGTGTAGGTCATTGCTTCCATTGTGGAGAGTCAGGACATAGGTCCTCAGAATGTCCTAACAAGCATAAGACAAGGTCTCGTGTTAATGTCATGAGGGAAGACGGTGGTGGTGAAGCTGAAGACGTTGACGAGCTGGTCAATGCAGACTATGAGGAAGAGGAGCTGAGTTACTTTCATTGCTTTCCTCAAGCTTTTCTCGCAGTCAATGCAAACACTAATCCATTGATGTATTTGGTAGGCTTTGTCCGTAGACACCGAATCCGAGTGATGATTGATACAAGAGTTACACACAGTGTGATATCCGAAGACTTAGTTAAGTTGTTAGGATTAAATGCTAAGCAAAT